TTTCATGGACGATGCTCTTCTGAAATAACAAAAATTGTTCCTCACTTGGCAGTCCCCGCGAGATTGACCCGTCGAGTTGAGGCTTCGCACTCCTTTGTGGTCACTTTGGACACCTGCAGAACATCTCTTTCCAAAGAGTCGTTCATTCAACAGCGAGGCTTTGGAACCCATTGGCAAGGGAGGTGTTCCCCGAGGCATATAACCTCCAGAAATTTAAGAAGAACACCAATTCCTACCTTATTTCCCTTGGTTCTCACGATGTTCTCTGAACATTACAGGATATCCCTGACAAAAAAATATTTTTCATCTAGAGTACGAGTCCAAAACTGAGGAAAACTCGAAAAACGACTCATGTTTGAATCGAAATGTGGGGACAGATTCTCCAACTGACTGCATTTTTTTCGTAACCTGTTTTTCCATTGGCAAGTATGAAAATGGATCTATACCTCTGCAGTAACTCGGTTAACTTCTTCTTCTGTTGATTGTTGAGTGAGTCGCTTGCAGCAGAGACAGTTCTTCATACTTGCCGGCCCCTTAAGTGGTTGCTGTCACCTGGTGGATTATGGAGGCTGCTGGGACACAGGTTCCAATCTTCGTTCCTTTGCCAATCGTCACAGGGTAATTATTTATGTTGATAAATCGAACAGGTACAATGGTCGTCTGCTGACAGTAAAGCCTTGCCGACTAAGATTCCACGTCAAACTCCCTCGTCATGGTTCCAGGGTTCCATGATGATGGGACTGCCTTGCTCCAATGTACCCTCAATCCGCGCTGCTACAATGGTCTCGCTCCGTTTCGGTAACAGGACGTCCTCTTCTAACGTTACCCCTGCCGCTACCTCCACTTGTGGATGTAAGAAGATCTCTTCGGCACCCATCTTGAGTGTTCGGCTTCTAAAGTCCAGTTGAATTCCTTGCGCACCCATGATGTCCATTCCCAGAATAACATCTTCTTCAATATCTGCCATGATGGCTCGATGTGGAAATTTGACGGTCCCGATCGATATATCCACATCGATTTCCCCATAAACGGTGGCAGCTTTACCCGTAGCAGTTCTCAGACGCCATCTTGAGTTCACGAGTTGCTTTCTTGAAGACGTCAGTAGTCCACGTCGCAGGATCGTTTTCGATGCACCAGTATCCACCAACAATGCGCACTTCTTTCCGTCAAGCGCAGCTGCCAGAGCACTGGTGAGGTCTTTTGGTCGAGTCAAGCGAACTGCTTTCTGCATTTCGATATCCCGCAATCCATCCACGAACGTTTGAACAGCTTGACATTCCATAAGGGATTCTGGGGCTGACGGGTAGGCACAGTGGACCAATCGTGCAACGTCCACTTCGAATTCTTGCAGGCTCTCGTTGACTCTCTGTCAACGGCTCTTCATTTGTGATTGAAATACTTGCTGAAGATGTTCGTGACCATACCGAATTTCGAGGCGTTTGACGAGATGATCGTAGCTATCGGCTTCTACTTCCGGGATGGCTTGCAAGATGTTCAGTGCATCACCCCGTAGAGCAACTGTAAGAGCTACCACTTTATCCTTTGATGTCCACCCATTGGCTTTGGAAGCTGCTTCGAACTGCTTCAGATAGTTTGGCCATGATGTTTTTCCATCAAATGTAGGCGGCTTCACTCGATTGGTAGTAGTCACTGGATCTGGCCCTACTGTGGTTTCAATCATGAGTCGTTGACCATTTCCAGACTTCTCCAGCAATGATCTTTTTTCTATTTCGAGCTGCAGCTTCTTCTCCATTGCTTCTATCTGAGTGGTGAATTGGGTTGAAACCTGATCTATGATTTTGTACTGCTGAGATGCGATCTGTGCTTGCTGAGATGCGATCTGTGCTTGTTGAGCAACCATCTGTTCTTGCTGAGCAGCGACCTGAGTCATAACTTCTTCCTGATGTGTTGATATCTGAATCAATACTTCTTCTCGTTGAGCTGATATCTGGGAGGCGATCTGATCTTGCTGAGCAGAAATACGTGCCAGCACCTCTTCTCGCTGAGCGGTCATCTGAGCTAATACCTCGTCTCGTTGGGCTGAGATTTGAAAGGCTATTTGATCTTGCTGAGCTGAGATTTTCTCCTGCTGAGCACGCATCTGATCCGCGATCTTCTTCTGCTGAGCCACAATCAGGTCCGCAATGTCCTGTCGCTGAGCCGCTATGTCCTGTCGCTGAGCCGCTATGTCCTGTCGCTGAGCCGCTATGTCCTGTCACTGAGCCGCTATCTGTTCCGTGATCTTCTCCTGCTGAGCCACCATCTGGTCCGCAATGTCCTGTCGCTGAGCCGCTATCTGTTCCGAAATCCCAGCCAACATCGATTCCGCTGAAGCTGGTTCCTCGAAGGTGAACGGCTCTGGATCTTGACCTACGCTCACCATATACTCTTTGAGAGGATGCTGAAGTGTAGCCTTGATCCCTGTTGTGCCAAGATCTCTCTCCTCCAACTCGCGTTTCAAGTCCACCACTTTCAACTCGTGTAGTTTCTTCATTGCAACGGTCTGTTCACTTCACACTGGAATATCCCACACTTCTGACACCAATTGTTACGTTCTCCTTCTTTTTGTTCTAGAAGCTTCTTAGAACAAAACCTCTCTCTCTTATTGTTCCATCGATTGTTTCCAGAACATTCCAGAATCTTCTGTGACGTTATTTGTCACTGCGGCATATATTGAGTGTTCGGAAATACGCTGGTGTATATAGGAATTATTGGGAGGTTGGAGAACAATCTGGGTTGGGTAATACAGGATAATCGTTGTACTCTTGTCTTACTGATGATGTTACTAGAGCCCCTCTAAGGGGCTACTGATGATAGTGAGTTTATGTTTGAATTTTCAGAAATAAAGCTGAACAAAAAATTACATTCACATATAGAGGAAAATCAATGACTTTTTTAGAGACAACATTTTATCACAATGTGAACAATGTTATAGTCCAGGAGATATAGGTGAAAATTTGGGCACGAAATTCATCGACATTGTGAGTGCTTGTGCTTTATTGGAAACTGAAAATTCAAAGTTAAGTGAACTCCTGGAGCGATTTCCTATGGTTTCTTCGGATAGACCTGGTACGACTAAAGAGTATTTTCACGAAATTAGATTGAAATATGATGGAGAGCTCTGCATGAACGTAAACAAATATCAAAAGAAACGCATGATAGGTATCCTCATATTTTGTACTTGCTTTCCGGCCCATCACTCTGTATATAATCGTAACCTATTTAAATAAGTTTTCAGGGATTCTATCATTTTCAAGTTTCAATCAAGTACAATAATAATAATAATTATTATTCATTCAATATTCGTATGGTCACCCTGTATGATTAAATTCATATTAAAATATTATTTTATCAAGTATAAGCAATATCGAATGTTTAATTCGATTCGAAACCAACTAAATCTAAGAAATTGTTGAGCTGAATCCAGCTCTGTGTTTTGCATGTCAAATCGCACCGTTTCATCAGAGAGAGAAGAAACAATGGAGAAGACATTAGGTTAGCGCAGAGTCACTGGATGGTATTAATTAGAAAAGAGTTCGGACACAGCTAAACTTCTGTCCTTTTCTATTTTCTATATTACAATGGTTTGAGTGAATAAAAGAATAAGACATACCTATATTCTGCTCTTTGTCTTTTCAATTTTCCTAGTAGCGCCTGACTGTCAGATACAATTTTAAATGTTAGATTTTTTGTCAAATCAATCATAGCCATAGATGGAAAATAGAAGTAGGTTATAAACACGCACTTCACTTTATAGCAATACATTTTTCGCAGAACAACAGTTAAAAACAGCTAAAAGAATTCATGTAACAACATTTTATTTAATATGACAAAATAGAAACATATATGTAAAACTGTACCAGAGTGACAAAGTTAAAACATGAAGATTGTTTTGATTTTCCACCTTTTGCTGCCTTCACTTTTCACTGATACATTCTGAATTTGGTCGGTATTGAAAACGTCATTCAATGATATATCACGTTGCAATTTACTTGATTTTCTCAGTTTCGTTCTCAAAAATTTCAATTTCATTATGTAGTTTTGCAATCAATTCCTCTTTCTCAATAATAAATTTGTTTTGCAATCCGTGTGATGATGAAATTGGATTTTATTTGAATAGTCTGTTTTGTAAATTGATGGAACAGCAGATTCTCTACTGTTTGAAAATGGGCCTAAAATATAAATTCATTCTATTCTGCTGTTATAAGAATGTTGCTTGTCTTCAATTCATTAATTTTCCATTTAGGCCGTTTCATACATTACTTCAATAAGGGAATGGTGGATGTTTCCTTTGACAAGAAATGAAATCCATTCTCTTCAGAATTGCCACAATTCATTACACAGTAGGACATTTCCATTTATTATTTTTTCTCAATAGTTGATGGAATTATATTTCAATTCTGAAGTTCATCAAATTTATTGTCAAATTCAAACAATTTTGAATGAAATAGCGCCGAAAGACTATGGTGCTCTTGTCATAATGAAACGTGTGAAATGAATCTAAACATTCAAAAACACTAACAGTTGTTATTTCTGTATACGAATTCTTATCTAATACCATCCAGTGACTCTTAGCAGAAATTGGTATATAAAACGTGTTGAGGCCAAACCAAACATCGGATTTTGATCTCGTTTTTAACAACTGATTTGGAAAATTTATGTTGGTATATCTGCGTGGTGTGCTAAATCTTGCGAATTCAATTTTGAATCAGCTATTTAATTTGGAAATGACCGAGTTTTCATAAATTTTTGATGAGTTTTTTTAGAATCAATTGGAGCATTTTTTGATCAAAAACAATCCATGAAAACATAGTCTACGACCATATTTATGACGTAGCGAAAGCAGGAAACAAAACTAACACATGATGTCCTCATATTTTGTACTAGAATGCCTATAAAATGACCCATTTTAGATACTATCCATTCCTCTCAATGAAACAATTTCAGAATTAGGGGATAAACAGAATGACACGAGATTGGCAGGAATCAAAATATCTTACCCTCAATTATAAAACTCTCAACTTCATCTGGTCGGATCTGTAACTCTTTCTCAATCATTTCGAATAAGATCTCCTGGTTACTCTCGGCTAATTGCATGAATGATAGTAACCGCATCTTCTGCATGTTCTGATCATGATTCAAACCTAAAAACAGAAATATTAAAATCCCAAGTTACCATGGAAACTAGATAATGTACATGTAGACAGAAATGTAACTTCAGAAGAGTGATCTACAAAATTAGTTGCTTGGAAGATAGCTTTAAAAAATGTGGATAGTTTTATTGGGAACAAGAAACATTTTCTCATACCCATGAAAATATGTCGATAATTCTTTGCCTACATGATTTTGGAAATATTTACTAGGAACACCGCCTTTCAGGAATCGTAGGTAAGTAACTAACAAAGCACCTAGACCTTAATCAATGGTATTTCAGTATCTTCTCTAAAACGGTGCATCCTGACAAGTTTGAACAACCATTTTTTTTTGGTGAATTTGAACTATATCTATTTCAACATTGTTCTGGTGTCGCCCAGCTGAATCTTGAAAAAATATTCAATGATATTCGTAATATCTAATGTGCAAAGAAAATAAAATGTTTCTTTTATTTGTGAAGACCTAATACTTTTTTTATCGATTGATATTACAAACTTAATTAACCCTTTGCGGGCAGCATTCAGAAATAAACGATATTCATGGATTATTTCGAGTCATCTGATTCAAAATGGCTAAATATGCAACGTGTATTTTTTTGAAATTTTTATTTCATCAATGAAAAAACAAAAAAAGGTGGTATGCTACTCATACCACAAAGAAACACAACAAACTAGATCAATTATTTCTTATGAAAGTTTCGAAAATAGTTCTTCTTATCAGACAAACATAATGCTACGCCACATGTATCACAGGCCCATTTGGACCTTCTTTGGTGGTCTCGGGTACTACATATTGCACATCTTCTATAACTTCCGTAAACTGGCATATGCAACGCCTGATCCCACCTCCTCTCAAGCGGTACATTTGGCTTGTAATTATTGATCTTCCGTTCCGTACTTGATCTACCTTTTTTTGGTACCTCATTTCCAGCTCCTACCAATTCTGATGCTATAGCTAGACGAAAAGCCTCCAAATTCATGCTCCTACTGTTTTCACTACGTTCTTGATAGATTATAAAAGCATTGACTACGCTGACATCGATGAAGTGCCAGAATATACGTGGCCACCATTTTTTACTCTTTCTATCGTTTCATAAGTTTTCTTTAGCATGTCTGCTTTGTCTACCATCACCCAAGTTTTCTAAATCCACAAAAGACCATACGTTTCTTTCTGCAACGAATAAAAATATTGTACATCCAAGAATACTTTGTTTCTTGTTCTTTGTTCACGCGTTGTGGTATATTTGGAAAACCACAAATAAATGACGATCAACGGCAATACTCATGAGTGAATAATTTGAATCTATGTATATTCATACACTAATACTATGGAGCAATGTTTTTCATGTACTTACTTGCCATTTTTTAAGTTTTATTATACTGAAATCAGCAACTAATATTGATGAGCAACAAACAATAGCACAACAAAATGAACTGATTCACTGTAAACATTCCTCACAAACTGACCGCGTTGTTTTTGCGCCAAAGAAGAGGGGAGTATTCACAAGTAACTATCAGGTTAGTGGTACGCATGGAAAACCACAAAGCAGGACCTATTATGAATTTTATATTTGTGGTATGTTCAATGTACCACTGAGCTCGAAAGGGTTAATATATCCCTACCAAGGGGGCTCCTTCATGATGCGAGTGTGGGTATGGTGTTAATCTCTTCATTTCACTTTGGAGACAAAGAGATTAATAAAAACAAGTAACCACTGGTTTAATAAAAAATTGATACGATACAGAAAATATTGCTATTTCAATTCCACAGAAAGAACATCAAGACTAACCTATTAAGAAAACGTACTATTTTTATTATGCAGAAGACTTTTAAAATCGATTTATCTCGAAAATGATGAGTGCTATCAAAACTAAACAAGAGTATCATTTTTAGGTAAAAATTATGATGGAGCGCACGAAAGGTAATCCCTATAATGTTCAGAACATCGTGCGTTCCTAGGGAGGATAGGGACAGGAGGTAGGTATTGGAATTTTTTTAACTTCTGGAGATTATATGTTGTTGGGAATACTTCCACAGGCAATGAATTCCAGAGCCTAGCCGTTCTATGGATGAAGGAGTCTTGTTTGAATGCTGTTCGACATCTTTCGAGGTTGACAACGAAAGGATGTGCTGACTGGGCTTGTCTAGTTCGTCTGATTGGTATTGCTAGTGAAGGGATGATAGCAGAGATTTCCGAAGAACATTTCCCGTGGAAGTATCGATAGAAAAGTGCAAGGTCGCCGACCTTTCTACGGTGTTCCAATGATGTCAAAAAGTGGGTGAGTGTGGCGCCACCCACCAGGCAGATGGCTCTTCTCTGGATGGAATCTAAGAGCATCAGCGTATGGTTTGGTGCTGAATTTTCATATTACCTGATCCCACTTCCAAATCTTGCATAAAAAAAATTAACAGGGAAGTAATGCCCCTAGCCTCACTTTTTTCCCACGCCCATGATCAACATTTCGGAAAATTCCCAACATTTCCAGATCGGGCATGAGAAGTAATATATGTACAAAATTATCTCACCACGAAGGGTTCCGGAAATATTTACAAAAAAACATCATCTCGGGCTCCATTTCAGATGGCTATAACTCCCCAGATGGTCATTTCTGGGCTCATGTTCATATGAACAACTTTTTTTACTATTTACTAAGGTTGGAATCTTTCTATGTAATTTCGGGACATCCTGTATACAATGATGACTGATCTGTTAACAGAAGATCATCATCATCTTGATATACAATTAAAAAAATGATGAAAAAACACAATAAGATAGAATAAACTGAAAATAGTACAATTTTAGAGATAAAATCGAAATATGGAAAAATAATTGTTGAATTTAGCTTACAGCAATTATCGCGTACATGTTTAAGAATCACAAATATTAAAAGTTAAAAATAGGAAAAGAATATAGGTACCTATATACAGTTCAATTCATAATACAGATAAGACCGATGATAAAAGCAATTGACTGGGTACCATAAACAATTATAGGCAATCTAATTTTTAATGTTCTCAAGAACACACTTGCAATGCTAACGCCGGAAACTCTATTTTCAACAACAGATTGAGATCAAAATGAACGGTTGTTTGGTTTTGAATTCCCGAAATTGGATGTTGCACAAAACGCTATTATATACTCAATTCTGGGTTTGTGATATTATTTGGGATACACTTATTTAGTTTCATTTCTAATAAGTGATTAAAACAACTGAGATTGTCCATGTATGATTGCTTATTCATTTTCAAATGTTCACTAATGAAAATCATTTTTAAAAACTCAACAGGTCAACAAAGACCTCTACATTTGCTACTTTTTATCATTTTTGTAAGAAGTTGAATCAGAATTTGGACAAGAAATGTTTTGAAAACAAGGAGGAAACTATCCATAAACATATGTCCGAGAACTTTTGGTATCATATTCATCAAACAGTGGGGGTGTACTCTTGGATTTTTCAATGATCTTACCATGTTCAGTAACTCTGGTTAAAATTTTCCTACCACTTTGTCCAACATATTGAGCATTGCATGGCGTGATGAGTTTTGTTAATTTTGATAATTTGTCATGTTGTTGATTTTGGTTTGATTAAACAGTGAATTGTCAAATTGTATAAAATATTTCATAAAGACCTCGATTTCCTGAAAACCCCAGCAAGATGCTATTACAATGCTTAATTAATAAAAACATCCTGTAACTCATTGGATTGCCAACGTCATCAATTGTCACTGAGAACTGAGAAGTGTCAAGACGAATACGAATTTGCTATACAAATATCCATTTTTTATGTGGAAAACGGGAGCAAATTCGTTCCCGAAACGTCCAATGCTAAGTGAAAATTCGATATTTCTTCTGTTTACCTTTATTTCTTTTCTCAAATACTTTTTCATCACAAATTGTCACTGACAAGCTAGGAGAATTCTTTAAGCTCAGTGGCATTTTGTGGCAAATATTTTATAGAAACGAGGAGAGAAAATCCCAAAAAATCTGGAATAATGAAGGAATTATTTTTTTGATGACTACTCAATTTTTTTCAGGTCTGTTATTTTTATAATTTTGCTGGTGTCATTTTTCCTGCAGAATACTTTTCTATGTTTGAGCCATACATATTTATAGCCACCATATTCAAAATGTTTGCTTTCCCAAGCAGTTCATGTATTTCTCAAGGAGTATCTTCATTAATGAATAATGATCTTTTGGGGCTCAGTATAATACAGTCAGTTGTATCGATTTTTCCGATTTCTGAGATCGCTACTGGTTAAGGTTACTAGTACTGGCTTAGTGCGGCTCTTTACTCGGTAGGACTTCAATAGTAACATCCTCTAGATTAATATATACATCTTACTTGCTGAACATGTTTTTTATCTCACCCTCAATGTTACTTTCTGCATTAGTTCCTAATACAATTATGTTTTTATTTCTCTCGCCTATTCTCTCCCTTGCCTGACGCAGTTTGATATTTGACACATCTTCCTGCAGTTCCAATATTTGTTTCTTCATCTCCCCATTTTCTTTCCTCAGCTTTTTATCTTCATTTTTCGTGCCGGTTATAGTCTTCTGCAGTTTTTCCATAAGGGTTCCATTAAAATTCAAAGTATCCTCCATATCTCCGAATTGATTGTTAATAAGAATTAGTGATTCTCTATTTGATGGGTTTTCTTTGTTCAGAGTCTCATGAACTTTAACATCTCATTGTTGGACTTTTGTATTTTTCTTCTTCTGAGGACAGTTTGTGCCTTTCCTAGAATCATATTCAGACTCGGATTCGGTAATAGCTTCATTGCATTCAATGCAGGTTTTACCTATCGATTTTTCCTAGCCATTACCATCTGAGAAGTGTTTATAATTGTTTTCAGATAGGCTGGTACATATTTCATGAAAACATTGTACACATTTTCCATTTATCGGGTTCCCTGTTCCACAAAAAAGGGTATCGCCTATATCTATTTCTTCGTGTAAATATCAGAGTTATTTGATGAATAATATCAATTT